GGGAAAGAAAAGTAAAAAAGGTATCTCTGCTGTGAAAGGCTTTCTGCTCTGCTAGCAGGACAGTTGTGCCTAGAAAAGGGCTGTTAAAAAGCAAATGAGGTGGTAATATCTCATGCTGCTGCAGTATTTCTTCCTGGAGTGTGACAGCCCTTCTTCCTTAATTACAAAAAGGAAAGCTTCCATTTAAACTGTTTATAGTCTTCTTCAATGAATGAACATAATGCTGTCATATTCTGATGTGCATTTTGAGACCTTAATCCCCCTGCCTGAGGCACAATTTGTTATATTGAAATTCTTACGTAAAGATTTGGCATTTTAGATTTATTGATTTTGTTTTATTTTAGTAATATGAAACAAGCAAAATCAGTAAGACAACAAAGGCACCCAACCAAAATATTGATAAGTTTGTGCTTTTATGAAAAATGACAAATAAAATACCATATAAATTATATGCTTCTAAGCACCCAATCTAGTCCCTGCAACTGAGCCAGGGTCTGCGATACTAATTGAACACTTGGCATTAAATTATCTGGCACAGTGTTTCAGTGAAGCTGTGGCACATAAGAGAACATTGATTTGGGAAGCCCACAGGAGATAATTTTGTAAGCTGCTTCATGACTGGACAGAGTATGTAATTTAACCTCTTAAGAGAACAAGGAGGTCTCCCTGAGGCTTAAAGTTCCTGGTCTGTGGATACTGCTTTTGCTTGCTCAGCTTTTACTTAAACAGCTGTGCAACCTTACTGAAGCTGAACGTGTTTAAGGGGTTATATTATCTTGTTTATGTGCTGATAGCATGCTATGTGCTGTAAAGGTCACAGCTAAAACTACAGTTTAAACTCTGAAGAGTTTAAATACATTCTAACATAAGGAGTTTACTGCCTGGAAGACAAACCTCCCACACAAATGAACTGCAGACCTAGAATATAAGTGTATCATAGGGCAAGTTTGCTTTAGACCTCCTCCCCATGTGCCGCCTTGTGTCTACTTAAAAACAGAAGGGAAGAAGCAGAGCCATAGCCAGCCCTTTTCTCTGCATCATGCAGCTGGCCTAGCCTGCAAAAAGAGAGCAGTGTGTGCTTTGAGTGGGATGTCATAGAAGGTACAGTGTCTCTGAACATCTCTGGAGGGATGCAGCCCCACACTAACCTATCTACATGTGGCTATGGCTAAATGACAACATCCAGCTGTATGTATCTTTGTGTAGCTTTAGATGCTACAGCAGAAGGCTGTATTTTACATGGTTAGAGAGGTATGTATTTTACAGAGTTGCAAAATTTAGCTTGCTTTAGCATTTCTTGGCCACTTATTCTGAAACATTTCAGAGTGGCACGTCTTCATTTCATCTCAATGACTGCAAATGTCATCAGAGCTGAAAAGAGACAATGCAGTTCTTTAGAGAACACTGGGCACTGTAAGGAGGAAATGCAAGTAGGAAGATAATAGTGTGATCAAAACCTGCCAAAGTCAAATGAAGTTAAAGAACTCCTGAGATAATTTTGTTGAAAGGGTATATAAAAATCATATGACTGTGACTACTCAGGGTTTCATTTTCCTCTGCTGTAAAGCTATTGCATGATTTTCTCATTTAAGGGCTATGTCTATTTGAACAGAGATTGTTAATCACAGTGCAGCTTTCCTGCAGATAACCATAATAAAGCAATGGTTGGTTCAGTCTGGTTATTTGAGACTTTGTTCTGGGTCTTGCATATCTTCTATTCATCTTTTGAACAAAGATTTAAAACATGAAAGAAATAATTTCTGCTAATTCCCTTAAAGAGTATTACTGCAATATGAGGAGATGCTTTCAAAGGTGATGTGTTTAGATTGGCAAAATAGCTTTATAATTCTAGTTTGCAAAAAGTATAATGAAGAAGCCACTGTCTGATAGCAAAAGGAGGAAAATTATGTGCGAATTACTGCAAAATAACAAACCCAGGGTTGCCTATACCTGGTGAAAATATAAAATGATAGAGAAAATTAGTCAAATCAAAACTTCCTTGTACTGATGGCTCATTTTGGCTAGGTGTAATGCAGTTGTATAAAGCATCTTCCATTTGGATGACCAGGCTAGACAGCAGAGCCATCCATGGAAGAGCAAACCTCACTTGTCTGTCACAGTCCTGAGTGAACACGTAGGAAGCAAATGGGCAAATTGCTGGTTCAGCCCTGTCTCTGCGCCTCTGAGGGCAGTTGAGCAGATGTGAATGGGAGAAAACAAACAGTTCTCTAGCAAAGGAGCTGAACAGCTTCCTTCCTTTTGCCCGTAGCAGCATTAGAGGTAGAAAGGAGCCGAGTGCTCCTTCTGGTGTTGGGAAGCAAGATATTGATGAGAATGAGTCTGATGCCAAATTCTTAATCCTCAGAGAGCCATCACTATTCTTTAGAGCTCACCCAGGGTCAGAATATTATATCTAACTCTTCTCTATTTTCAGCTTGTGTAGAAGATAACTTTTTATTCTATTTTTAGTAAGGAAGAAGTTGGGTACTAGTCAAGTGTAGCGCTTTGAGGCAGTGCTTGGCTACTGAAGTTTTAAGATACTTTGAATTATGTGATATTTCTAATTAAATGGAAAATTGTTGAGTTTCAGCAAATGTTGCTGTGAAGCTACCAGACAATCCAGTTATAATTATTAATTATGCCTTGTTTATGCCTTGAGAGATGTCCAGGGTTTGGGGTGTGTGTGTTTTGTTTTGTTTTGTTTTGTTTTGTTTTCTACAAGGAGTTATCCTTTCCAAGGACTACAGAAGGCTGATGATTGAGGGAAGCACTGGGTAGGCTGAAGCCATTCAGATTTCACAGTCAGGGGAAAGCAGCTTTGGTTCAAATGAGACTAAGCATACAGCCTGGCAAGGTCTCTGGGCTAGATAGCAATAAAGCTGAATTCAATATATTTTCTAAAATATTTATTAAACCACCTTTCTAGTGAGCGAGAAGATATCACCAGAAGAACAACTATGCTATTACAGGTTTGATTAATGGTAATTAATAATAATTTAGCCTTTCTGTAGCCAAAATTGGAATCTAAGCTCCAGAATTAAGATCTGGTCTTGACTCCAGTCTTTCTCTTTGCCTGACTTTCTGGACTGTTTAGACCGAGATGTGGAATTGGCTTTGATATGCCTTGAGCCTTCCCTTTAATTTTTCCTGACTGGGACTTGGGAACAAAACTGTCTTTGTGGCTGCACAAAAAACTTCCCACAGTCCCCCAGTGTGCAGCGGCACAGAACGCTGGCACTGAGTGGCAGTGCATGGCACACTGCTGCTGTATCATGGGACTAGCAAAATGTATATAGTAATTGCAGATATCTCTAGATAACTGCTGATAACTTTGCAGATAACTCTGTTCAGTAGGCAGTAAGAAGGACAAACTCTAGTAAAAACACAGTAGACAGCAATCTGTGGTGTTAATGAAAGCACCAATAATTTTGCAGACTGGAAAAATCTGTCTCGAACCAGAATCAAGGGAAGGAAATGCAATGCTAGTTAGAAATAACAGCCCTAAACTGGTGTTATTTAGGATTGAAAATGGGATGCCTGACTAGTTCATTACCTATATCACCAAACAAGTGCATTGAGGTAACCGTGTTTGCTTTCCGGGGACACTAACAGCAGTGACCAACTACTATCTTGAGAGGCATCAGAGAAGGTCATGAACAAAACCAAATGCATGAACTTCTTCAGTCTACTAATTCAGTTTCCACTAGCCAAATAATTGCACAAGTTT